AGTGTCTCACTTTATTTTTACAGCATGCCCCTTTTTACACCTGGCAGTTTAACCATTGTTCCATTAGTATCAGGGTTTTACTTCCTCATAATTCTTATGTTCCAGGGTACAGCTATAGCTTTTCTATGCTAAAGACTAACTTATTTTAACTGAGTCCAAGTCCCTCCACCTACAATGACTGCAACCAAGGCCTGAGCCTCTACATAATCGCCTAAAGGATGGTTATCATGACCACCCAACAATTATTCTAAAAACTCTTGTCTAAGCAGGACCTTAAGATTTACAGGGTGTGTACTTTGACCTTTACTAAGAGACTAGTAGTGTGACTAGAATTGCCTTTAATATATAAAATAGAATTATTGTGATATATCTATTAGAAGGGGAATTTAAATTCTTTAAGATATAAAGCAGTATCTGTTTCTCAGTCAGAGCTTCAGAATTTGTCACAATTGCAGTGTGCTTGGCCATGTCACACACTGAGGCGCAGCTGGCTCCCAACAGTTTCCATTTTAAGGTTACCTCCTTCTAGTTGCCTTCCCTGACCACCCTGTGTAAAATACACATCCCATCACTCTCCCCCACCCTATTTTCCTTAATGCTTGCCACTTCCTAACATTACATTGTGCACCAATTTACTACTTTATTGTCCATAGACCCCACCAATACATGATTCCTGAGGAAAAGAAATTTGTCATATGTATCCTTTGTTGTGTCCCTATTATTTGGCACACATGACAAATGTTAACATTTACTGACTACTTCTAACTACCAGGCACTGTTCTAGGTGTTTCCCATGTCTTGACTCATTGAATAGGTATTATTCCAACATTAGAGGTGGAGAGACAGGGTTTTAGAGGCCCTGGGTTTTGGACGGGGGAAGGCAGGACCTCTGGTGCTGGGCAAAGGGATGGTCACTCTGTCTGGAGAAGCCCGCGGGGTCCTGAGGGGAACAGAAGCAGGAAGAAATTCTAGGGCCATTATCAGAAAGTATTACTGTATTCCCCCATGTATAAGACGCACCCTTTTTCGAAAAATTTGGGGTCTAAAAACTGGGTGCGTCTTATACAGGGTTGTAGACTTTTTTACTTGCATTTCCCACAAGTGATGAGGAGTTGTATGAATTTTATGATGAATAAAATTTGAGTTCTATAACTTTATGCAATACATTTTTTTCAAATTTCAGGCCCCAAAATTAAGGTGCGTCTTATACTTGGGAGCGTCTTATACATGGGGAAATACAGTAACTTAAGGAATGTCAGATGTCAAGAAATAGAAGCTAGCATTTATAGAGCAGAGTGTCTTGATGCCCTTGGGAGTAGAAATGTCTACAGCTATGGAGAGGGCTTTGGTGTAGAGCAGGCCTGCAGAAAACAGATGACAGCTATCCACCTCCCATGCGAATGTGGAGGTCCAACAAACCAAACCTCTAACAGTTTTCATCTTTTTATTATGAAAAACCTCAAACTTATTAGTACTGATAGAATGAACTTTCATGTACCGATCACCCAAATTCAACAATTATAAACAAAGCATTTTTCAAAAACTGCAGGCTCCCTAAGCATTTGAGTGGTTTGGGGCCAGCTGACTTTGTTAAAATACAATAAACTAGGAAACATCAGGGAACTTTGCATATTCCATTCACTAAACCTTTCTTCCACTTACACAGACAAATGGGTAGACTGGACCCCAACTAAGAAAAATGTACTTCTTACTATTGGTTCCAATCATAAAGTTTAAAACAGACTGCAAATTCTGTGCCTGAACAACTACTAAGAACTAGACAGAGTACAGTAAGTCCCCAACTTACGAACGAGTTCCATTCCGGGAGAAAGTTCGTAAGTCGGATTAATTCATCAGTCAGACAAAGTGAGTCTTATACACCTTTGACACTTCCTCGCAGTCCCCTCCACATCACCACTGCTTTTCCTCTTGCTTCTGGACATCCTGGGCTCTGATTGAGCACTGTACTACTGTACACTATTGCACTGTACAGTAAGCACACAGCAGCGCAACTGTGACAATGTCCAGCAGACACGTGAGCTACTTCCGCACTTTGTTCATTCACATCTACGAATGTTCGTAATGCGAGGTCCGTTTGTATCTGTGAAAGTTCGCAAGTCGAATGCTCATAATGGATAGTGTAAGAAATGAGTTTTACTTAAAGGAAGTTTAAAAGAGTTAAAAAATTTGACTTGATGGCATGTTAAAAATTATTATAAAGAACAATGCCACTGAATGTTTATCTAGAAGCCCTTTCTTTCTGCATGTTATGTTGATGATCCTCCAATAGGATCTAGGGAGGCTCTCCATAACCAAACATTCCTCCAATATATTGTATGCATATTCACACTGAGCAGGAAAAAAAATAGATTATGAAAAGCTTCAGGTCAGGCCTTGTCACCAAATTAAAAAAAAATCTCCTGGTTTATCAGATCCTGGCGCACTCTGAATGATAAGGGATCATGGCCCTTATGTTAGTCCGAGGAGGGGTGGGAGGTGGAAGAGGAATGTAGCTGGGCAGGGATGTGACATGTTTTATCTTGATAAGTAGTAGTAGGAACACTGGCTACTGATCTTATCCAATGTTTTACATACCTGAAGTATTCACAGCAACTTATTTTAAAAAGCTATTTGAAACTTTTCTACACTCCTAAATCTAGAATGAGGGGCAAGGGTGTGGGGATAGTATCGGGTACCTGCCCTGTTCTATACATGTCATGTTCAACACCCTTAACCTGGCCATCAGATGGGCACTATTATTCCCATTTTACACATTGACCCTGTGGCAATTAAGCTAGGAAGCAGGGTCTTGAAAACTGAGTGATTTCAGCCCACATGGGGTGGGAGGGGGCAGGTCTTCGGATTTATTGTGGACCTTAATAGTGAGGGGGGGCTACCTAAGGGATGATTATATCTAAATTTTCAGTATAAATAAGCAAGATCCAGGGCTTGAAAATACAAGTATTTGCAGGCCAGGGATCTGGCCTTGAGACACAGGTTCTCAAGGCACCTTTTGAGTGTTTGGGAGTTCCTGGTTTTGGTGGGTTCTTGGGAAACTCACATTAATGAAATCCTGGACAAACTGACGCAGAGAACTAATAAATACTTTTGTCTGGAAATTTCATTGGTCAATGATTTTAGAGCCAGAAAAACTAACTGCGAATCTTCTAGGTCCCTTTCCTTAGAGCAAAAAAACAGCAAGACTGGGCCTCCCTGGGCTAGATTACAAGGTACTTTCCGAAACCAGGAGCAGAGCAGGTTCATCAAGTTGTTCTTCAGGTCTAGGAGGCTACTTATGGTCTTTACTGATGCCACTCAGGGTCTTTTTTTTTTTTTGCAGGAACTTTGTGGTTGTGGGATTCCATCTCAGGCCATACCGGGGGTCAGATGGACATTTTACTCCCTGAGGGGCAGGGGGCAGAGATGCCCCTCCTCACCCACTCACAGGACAGTAATGGTGGTGGTCCTGCCAGCTCCCACTTGCTTTAGCTCCCTGAAGGCCCAGCACAGAATGCCCTCAGACCTAGTACCTAACTGATGGGGGTAGCCACAATGCTTCTATCTGCGCCTAGCTCAGTGGGCCAAGCAGGACCACATGGATGAGGATGGGTCCTTGGGGCTTGTTCCAACTAGCTGGGAGACATGGGAAACAAGCTAATACTGGTACTCAATACAAGGACCCCCAGCCATTCAGGGTGCTTTTAAGTGGCATATACTGGGTGGCTTACAGAAATTTCTCAGTTCTAAAGGCTGCAAGTCTAAGATCAGGGTACCGGCAGGGTTCAGCTCTGGTGAGGGTCCCTTTCTTGTAGCCTCACGTGGCATGGAGACCAGGGGGAAAGCAAGCTAATTCCGAGGGCCTGACCATTATGACCTCATTTAATCTAAGTCACCCCACCGAAGTCCTCACTTCCTAATATCATTATATTAGGGAGGGTTCCAACATATATTATTTTGAGGGGACATACTCAATCCATTAACACATGCCCCAGACATGAGGTAATAGGCAGTTCAGGATGTCCTGAACTTGCAATCTGGTAGCACTGGCTCAAGACCAGGCAAGTGGAAGCCTTGGACACAAGTGACCAGAAATTCCAAATGGTGGGCTAAAAGCCCACAGGACTCCAATGCAGCCACCAAAACCTGGACTAAAGGGAGAACTGAGGAATTCAGACCAGCTAGTGGTACAAAACCAGACCAGGTCATTGCCACCCTCTTACCACTGAATCTCTGCAACTGAGGGCTTGGGCAAACTGTTCTCAATAGCTATCTATGCCTATTATATGTAGTTTACCCTCAACAGTTAAGTGTGAAATGCCCAGGAAGCTGAGGCACACAGGCTCAATGACTCATCAAATCAAACAGCTGGGAAGCAGCAGAATCCAGTCTTCACTCTTAGAACTATTTTCTCAAAAAAGGATTTTGTGATCCTCAGTCTTCTCCTACCCCATCACTTCAGGGAAAAGAACAGGAACCACTGGGGTATGTTTGACTCCCACCAGATACAGTCTCAGAACAATCCTGTGAGGCGGGCACCCATCTGATGCTCAGAAAGGCTGATTCAAACCCAAGCCATCTGATTCCTAAGCAGACACCCATCAAGACAATGGGGCCAAGACACCACCTCAGGAAACCTGATTTGAGTTGTTAGGGGATTTTACCTGTAGCCACCCCACCTCAAGATTTCATGTCATAGGCATACCTGATTTTATTGCACTTCATAGACATGTTTTACAAATGGAAGGCAAAGCCTTCCACCAGCAAAAAAAATGAGTTGCTTCATTGCAAGACTTGCTCTATTACTGTTGTGGTCTGGAACTGAACCCACAGTACCTGAGGTATACCTGTATACATACCCAAACCGACCAAACTTTCTACTTGAGGTCTCTGTCTTTTTGGCAGTCTAGGCCCACCCCCTATTTTCTCAAGAGTCTCCCTTCCAATCTTACTCAATTTTCAATTTACAAACTGGGTAGAATAAGGAAAAAGCATTATCGGTATCGATTGTTTTCAGGTTTCATCTTTTTAATCTGCTCCATGAAGAACATCCTAAACACTACGAGACACAACAGAATAGTTTTTCTTCCAGTATTAAAAAAAATGGACATTCACAAATATTTTTAAGAAACTTCTATATAATCAGTGTGGTGATCCGCAGTAAAAAACATCTCTAAATAATCACGTTGATTTCTTGTAGTTACATTTGGAAATTGCTTCCTAACCATGATAAACATTGTATATGGGTTTTTAATGCCCCTAGATACACATGATTTCTGAAAATAAAAATCAGTCTGGCCATTTTTTGCCAGAACCAATCCTGAGAGCCCAAACTAAAAAACTGGTCAAAGGAAATACCCAAACTCTATAAATGTTCCAGAATTTGTCTTTAAATGGGAGAAAAGAAAACTTTTAAAAACATACGGAGCTTTCTAAAAGGTCTTTTAACAAGCTACCTTGGGAGCTCAATTCAAAAATAGAAGTCAATATACTAAAACAGATGTTTCAGTGCAGCTCCAAAAATCTTTATAAATACAGCCATTTGGAAGGACGATCCTGGATCAGAAGTCTTATTCCTTGTGTATCTGAGAACAATAAGAACAAGGAGAATTGTGATGTAGGGAAGAAACACGTTCACCTCCGGGAATAACCTCAGTAAGGTTACAGCCCCTTATCTCCTCCATGGCCAGAAAATTACAGGGGAGACAGGTTTTCAGACCCCTCCCTCCACCCTCCAGGCCAACTAGCCCTGACCCAGCACCTGAAAGCAAGAGGCCTAGGAATGGTGTCAGGTGGGCCAGGTGAGGTATGTGCAGGGCAAGGGGAAGGTGAGAGGAATATAACAGGGCTGATAAATAGAGGTGTGTTCAGTGACAATATACAAGCCTCACCTACATTAGGTGTGCATGCCTCATCTCAGTTGTCATAATTGTCTCTGTAATTTCCTCCTGAGTAGCGGTCATAGCCACCCTGGCTTCTGGGAAAAAACACAGTAATTACTGGAATGCTATCAGATACCCCGACATTAAAACCCATATACTTAAGTATCATATCAAATTTATATACATGAGCATAAATGAGCAAAACAATATATTAAGCATGGCTATCACGTAGAAATCACAATTACATGGTATATAAATTACATATAGCAAATTAATCATTAAATGTTAATGCAATAGACACGACCAACAATACAATAAACATTTACTGTATACTGCAATTATACAGTCTTTCAATTTATTAACACATTACACGTAACTTAAAACATGGTTTCATACTTGTACGGTTTTGTTCAAATTTGTAAAAGCAAACACTGGTAACACCATGGTAAAATATTTATGAACATCCAGGCAGCCCAGCTCTTAAGAAGAAAAGCAAGACTGCCAGAGTACCCTGACCCCCTGGATACACACCTGCCGCCATAGTCTCTGGACCTTCCATATCCGTATCCATATCCTCCAGGCCGATTGTCATACCTGCCACTCCCATAGCCCTGGTCCCCTCCACCTACAGCAGATAAGAAATATTTCAATTGTCCAGACAGGCTGCTAACAGATGGCTCTCCTTCACACCACATCACGACCACATTTACCACTGTACTTACCTCTAGAATAGCTGCGGCCACGCCCATGGGACCCAAAGGCACCCCCTCTGGTTCCCCGGGCCGATTTGCCTGCGTGGTCCACACGGATCTGGCGACCATCCAGAGACTAGGTGTGGGGAAACACAAAGAGGATGTAGTGGTGAGGGAGGAGTGGGTAGGGCAAGTGAGCAAAAGAGCCCAGAAACTCTTGCTGGGCACCATGTTCTGGTTGCCACGTTCCAGAACAAGCTCCTTTGATCAAAATGGCCTTATTAGCTCTAGAATCCCACAAAATGACCTGAATCCACCGTGTTCCCCTACTACTACTTACATCTTCACTGAACTCAGGTGAGTTCTCCTCCCCACTCCTCTAAGCTGCCCAACTATTAGGGATAGATAGACACCTCTCTTTGTTTGAGGCTTCGGAGTCCATCCCAGAAGACTCACGAGGTCCTCTCCGGGCCAGGCCCACAGGTCTGCAGACTCTACTACCTAAGCCCAGGGCAGGTCAACCATCCACTGGTGGCTTCTCGGCCTCAGGCAGGACCAGTCGTCGCCTCCCAGGCAGCCTGGCTGTCTGCCGCTGCCCTCCACCCCCTAGAACAGAAGGCAGTCAAGCTCCTGTGAGTGGGCACTGTGGGGGGTTTGGTGGCCGCGCTGCCTCTAGCACATACAGAGGAAAAATCAGAAAGAATAGTGCAAGTGGTAGATGGGGGCAGTACCCCTATGCAGGTAGATGGCCTCACCTCTCCATTCATGGCTCTCATGGCATCTGAAGCATGTTCTGGATTGGTGAAGGTTATGAAGCCAAAGCCCCGGGATCGCTGAGTCTCCCGGTCCTTGACAACGACCACTAGGGAAGGGAGAGAGAAAATGGTTAAGAGGAAAAATAAGTGACAAAAAGTGTAAAGCAGAGAATGAACCCCTTTCACCAATCCTCACTTGAAAGTTATCAGATTTTTCCAAAGCTTAAACCTACATACCTTATGCCTAGGGACAAGGCAAGTTAAAAGGTACATGAAGGACTGGGGCCTGACTTATCTCTCAAAGTTTGTTGAAATGCAAGGGCCGCGACTTCCTCTCACCCCTCCCCCCACCACGGGTCTGACGTCTCACCCTCGGAAATAGGGCCGAAGCTACTGAAATGATCTTCCAGAGCCTGCTCATCAGTGTTGAAGTTGAGCCCTCCAACGAAGAGCTTCCCTTCTTCAGAAGACATGGCAGTAAATTAAAGTCCTGTGGGGAGAATATAGAGAAGCGTGGGACAAAGAGATTGGAGCAGTGAGAAAGGTTAGAGGAAAGAGAGAATAGAAAATAGACAAGAAAAACAAAGTAAGGAGTAACTAAGGGATGACCGAGAAGGCAGGCCCAAAAGATAGAAATCGGCTGGGCCAGCTCAGCGAGGTAGCCATTTGGGGGCCGCCTTAGCGCATGCCCACAACATCCTCTGCCACCACGCCCGTCATTTTGTGCCGCCGCGCAGGCCCAAAACACCCTTGCGTTCCCTCTGTGCCCGCAGAACAAGATGGCGGCGGTCACGTGGGAAACGGGAGGCCGCAGGTCTCGGCCACAGCATGGTCACAACCGCCACCAATGCTACCAGCCCCTCTCGGCACTGCTCACACTTGGATATACGCGCTAGCCTCCCACCAACCCCAAAATTTGACCTCCGAGGACGGGACCCGCCCGTCCCTGAGAAGCCCAAGCCTACGTGTCCGCACCGCTCCTCTCCGCACTCTCGCGCCTCGCTCTAGGCCGGCGGGGCGCACAGCAGTGAGGCGAGAAGGGGCCGCTCAAGACAGACGTCGCTTACCTGGAAATTAAGTAAAAGGACTGAAGGCACAACTACCACCAAGGAGCAGAGAAACTGAGAAGGGTGCCGCGCGGGAAGACGGTTAATAAAGCATACGTATCGTATACGTCACTGAACGTCCCCCGCGCGGGCCGGCTTGCGTGCGCGCTCATTGGTGGGAATGGCCGAGCAAAACGAGTGAAGCGCTCAGCGCGCTTCCGGAAATGGGGCGAGCTTAGTATGGCCGGTGCGTTCTGACGTCAGAGGGACTATTTTCTCTTCTCTATGTCTATTTTCTGTTTTCTCCTTCCACTGGCCCCAGCTGTTCTCATCTTTTATGTTCATGAACGTTTTCGCTCTCACACCCCTTTCCGTCTTTGTCCTCACTTCCTTGACGTCATTTCCTCCGTTGGTTCCGACGTCTTTCTCACCATCTCAGTCAGGTTCCTCTAGTGCCGGGAAGACAGAATTACCGTCCTCTGATAACCTTCACCTTCGAGTCCTCTAACCTCATATCCCTTTAGGACCCTGTTTTACCCCCCCAGGGGTCCGATGTTTATCCCCCGCAGTCCCTGATGTCATCACCCTTCACAGTCCTTAACATCAGATCTGCGTTTTCTCAGGGTCTGATCTTGACCCCTACTGTTTTCTCTGTGCTGAATATCTAACCGCCTGTCATGGGACCCTTTTCCCTAGCACTATTCTTTCATATTTCTGACTTCAGCCCTCATCCTTACCTGACAACCTCCCGAAGCCAGTCTTTTGATTTCTCTGCCAGTAGACTGCCTGAGGTGCCTTCTACAAAATAGGATGCTCTAATCTTCAGAGGAAGTAAATCCCAATCCACACAATGATTTTTGCTGTCACTCAGAGTTGCTGAGCCCTTGATCCACAAAAAGGACTTTCATAATACACAATGCACTTATCCAAAGCGAGGTGTGTCTGAGCCCACTACCCACAATTTGGTCTTGCCCAGCCTTCATTCAGAGTGTCTGAGCTACCTTTGCAAAGAATGGATTTAACCAACTTCATTTCTGAGCTCCCCATACAGAAAAAGTGGGTTAGTTTGCCCTCAGAGAGTCTAAGTTTCTTATCCACAGAATGGACTTGTTCAGCCTTATAAGGGTCAGCCACCCCCCAAACACAGACTAGCTTTGTTAACTTTCTGAGTACAGTATAGTATGCATAAAGAACTTGTCTGGCTTTTGCCGTATTCAGACCTCCTATGCTCCAGATGGAAGTGAACAGATTTCATTGTCCACATACACACTGGTCTTAGCTAGCCCTCACAGAATCTGAGTCCCATGCAAAAAAAGAGGTAGTTGTTTGACTCTCAAAGTGTCTGACCTCTGATCATATTCCACAGTTCGTAACACATTGTCATTGTTGTTCCATGCAAAGCCCCTCATTTTGTTTATTCTCTTTTATTCCTGCACCCAACTATAATTCCCTTTCTCCCACAGTTAACCATTTTATTGGATTTAATGGGTACCTTTTTGTGTGATTTCATATAAAAATCTACATTTTTGTCTATGCTTTTAATTGAAGTAAATGGTAGTGTCATTCTATTTTTTAGTTTTTTACCCCCCTCCATCAGCATTATGTTTTTAAGATTCATCTGTGTTGTTATGGGTACATCTAATCTGTCTGTTGCTTCTAATGGTTGCCATAAACTCCAATGTGTACATCCACTGCATCGTTTTACACCTAGGTGCTCTCAACAAGGGACACTGGGCTTCCTCCAACACCCCATTTCAATAAATGCCTTGTAAATGCTCCCTTATGGGCCAGTGTGAAAATTTCTTTAGGATGTATACTCCGAGAAGAATTGCTGGGTCATAGGGGATGTACATACTTAATTTCTGTAAGCAGTGCCAGATTGTTTTCTGCAGTGGGTGGAGCAATGTGCCTACATGCCCCTTTCTCTGCCAACACTTAGCATTATCCAGCTTTCTAAAAATTTCCAGTCTAACCGGGGCAGTCATATTTCATTAGTTCTTTAATTTGTATTTTAAATGATTGATGATGATTTTGAGTACTTTTCATGTGCGTGTTCAATTTTGGGTTTTCTCATGTAAATTGCTTGTTCATATCTCTATTCTTACTAGGCCAATTCCCATATTCCTCTTCTTGTTGATTTTCAGGGCTCCCTTACATAGTCTAATTATGAATCTCTTGGATGTTGCAAATTGCAGATACCCTCTCCTAGTCTGACATTTGTGTAATTTATTGTAATTAATATTCATAGTTGAATAAAGATCCTTAATTTTGATATTATCATTTTCCCACTTATAGTCTGTACTTTTAAAGAAATCCCTCTCTTTCTCCAGTTCACAAAGGTGTATATATTCTTCTGTTAACTTTATAGTTTTGCTCTCATATATAGGTCTTTAATCTATCTAGAGTCCACCCTTGTATGTAGTGTGAGATATGGATCCGGTTTTATTTTTCTCCATATCTTGAGCCAGATGCCCCATCACTATCTACTAAGCAATCCTTTTGCTTTTGTGTATGTGGTACCACTTCTATCATATATTAACTTCCACGAATATAAGGCTTTCTCTGCTAACCCTTTTTTTCTGTTCCATTGGTCTACTTAGGTCAATATCAAGTTTTGTTTCCTTTAGTTACTAAGTAAGGCCTTTAGTATGTCTTAATATCTAGTAGGGCAAGTTCCTATCATAACTTCTTTTTGAAGGTTATTTTAGGTATCCATAATCCTTTACTATTCTGAATTCAAATGTAAATTTATTGCAAGTGGAAAAAATAAATGGAAATTTTGTTGCGATTGCATCTATTAATTTATAGATGTAGGCAGAAATAACATCTTAATGATATTACCTGTGGAAGTTTTAATACATGTTCACAAACTCTTTGATACTGTTCCCTTCAAGTATTGGGGTCTAACTCTCTTGCCCTTGAGTGTGGGCTGGACTTAGTGATTCACTAGTAATGCACAGAATGAACATGTCACTTGCAAGACTAGGTCATAAAAGGCACTTCAGCTTCCTGTTCTCTCTCATACAGATTGCTCCCTCTGTGGGATGATAGCTGGTATGTCACGAGCAGCCCTATGAAGGAACTGAGGCCTCCTTTCAATAGCAATGTGAGTAGGCCTTCTTGGAAGTAGAGTCAAGCCTTCAAATAACTGCAGCCTCCATTCACATCCCGACTACAACTTCATGAGAGACTCTGAGCCAGAACCATCCAGCTAAGTCACTTCTGGGATTCTGATCCTTGAAACTCTGTGAGATAATAAATGTTTATTGTTTTAAGCCAACACGTTTTGGGGTAATTTGTTACCAATACATAATACATCACCAAAATCTTCCCAGCAAAGAGAATGGAATGTCTTTCCTTTTATTCAGATAATCTATTTGTTATTAGAGTTTTGTTTTTGTTTTTTCCTATAAAGGTCTTTTGTTTTGGTTTAATTATTTTCTAGATACTTTATTATCTTGTTTGTTATTGCTGGTGTAGAGAAACACTTTTGATTTTTATAGGCTGATCTAGAAAATGCCTGCTCTCAACAGTTCTAACAGTTTTTCTGGTCATTCTCTTGGTTCTTTAAGGTAGTCAGTCATACAATTTGCAAATGGGTTTTATCAGTTCCTTCCTAACTTACACCTCGTTTCTCTTCTTTCTTTGCAGCATTGGTCAGTTGTGTATAAATAGTAATATTGAGAGTGAACATCCTTGCCTTGTTCCTGGTCTTAAAGGAAAAATGCATTTAAAACTATTAGGTGTTTTTGCTGTAAGTTTTTGACACATAACCTTTATCAAGTTAAGGAAGTTCTCTTATTTTGTTGCTAAGAGTTATTTTTTTAAAATATCAAAAACAGGTATTGAACCTTATCAAATATTTTTTTCTGCTTTGAGATCATAGTATTTCCTTCTTTATTAATGTGGTAATTCACTCATTAATTTTCTAATTTTGATCATGTTTGCACATTTCTAGGATAAACCCTCCTTGTGATTGAAAAAATACACATTGAATTCAGGTAGCTAATATTTTGAGAATTTTTGCATCTGTATTCATAAGTGAAGTGGGTCTATAGCTTTATTGTCTTGTATCTTTCTTGTCTGGTTTTAGAATCAAGACTATACTAGCCTCAAAAAATGACCTGGGCAGCTTTTGCTCTTTTCCTATTTTCTGGAACAATTTGTATATTTGGGAATTAACAGTTCGTTGAAGGTTTGATAGAACAACATCTGCAAAACCATTTGGGTCTGGGCCTGAAGCTTTTTGTTACAGTAAGATGGGGTGTCTTTGCATATCATTTCAATTTTTATTAAAACTTTTTATATTCAATTTTTTTATCTTTTTGTATCAATTTGAGCACACATTAATTTTTCCAGAAACTTATGCTTTTCGTGTAGGTTTTCAAATTTATTAGCTTACAATATTTAGCCTCTTTTTGTGTCTATAATTTACCCTTTTTTCGTTCTGTATTTTGCATTCTTTTAAAGCAATCTTGGCAGAGGCCTATCATTAATATTTTCAAAGAACCAGCTTTTCATTGTTATTCTTTATCATTACTTCTCTAATTCTCTATTGCACTTTTTCCTTCCTTAGATTATTCCCTCCATGGCTCATGGGTTTGTTCTTCTGCATTTTCCAACTTCTTGAGTTGAATGCTTAGAGCTTTATTTTTCAGCCTTTCTTCTTTCCTAATAAATGTATTTACATCTATACATTTTCTTCTATTAACTGATTTTGCTATGTCCCACAAATTTTGCATATAGTGTTATTACTTAGTTCTAAACATTGCTGAAGTTCCTTAATGATTTCTTCTTTTATCCAAGGGTTATTTAATAATTGGTTCCCCAAAATGGGGGCTTTTTAAAGCTTTTTGTTATTAACTGCTAATTTTATTGCATTATGGTCAGAGAACCTGCTTAATATTGATACTTTTGAATTCTTCAAGGCTTTCTTTGTGCCCTAATATGGTCTTACTTTCGTAACTGTTAAGTGTAAGCATAAAAAGAATCTCTATTTGTTAAGTGGAGAGTTATATAGGAATGTGTGATATATGAGTTTATGATTATGTGTCAAGCTTAAAAATGTATTGTTCAGGGCTCCTTAGGAGTTATATGTGTTTATGGCAGACATATTTCCCTGTCAGTGAGCATATGACCTTCTTTGTCTTTTGTGATCTCACTTGTTGTTAGCTATTAGGATGGCTATCCCAGATTTCTTTGAGTTTTTATTAGTCTGCTACATCCTTTCTTCATCCTTTCATTTTCAACATTTCTAAATCTTTGTATATGTGTGTACACTGTTGGACCTTTTAAAAAATACAATAAAGGTCTCTGTGTTCTACTTTTGTAATTATTATTAAAACTTCTGATATCTCATATTCTCCATTTACAGTATTTTTCTGTTTTTTCCCTACCATCATGCTCATACCTAGTACTTTCTTTGGGTCTTTTTTATATTTCTTATTCCTGTTTTATCTTCTAATATGATCTCTTATTGTACTTATTTAAAATTCTTCATTTGTTCCCAATACTTCTGCTTCAGATATTATATGTCACCCAGTGTGGTAGCCAGCCTCCAATACAGCCTGTAATGATCCCAGCCTCAGGTTATTCACATCCTGTGTTGTTCCCTCCCGTGTTGTACTAAGATTGGTCTGTGTGACCAAGAAAATACAGCAGTGATGGAATGTCATTTCTGAGGTTAAGTTATAATAGACACTGTGGTTCTGTCTTGGTCATGGTCTCTCACCTGCTTGTTGGGAACACATGTTGTGAGGATCCCTATGGTGAGGCTCAGGTGGTAAAAAACTAAAGTCTCCTGCCAACAGCCTCACAAGTGGGCCTTGTTCAAAGCGGGTCCTTCAGTCAAGTCACGCCTTCGGCTGACTGCAGTACTGGCTGACAACTTGACTGAAACCTTAGAAGAGACCCTGAGTCAAAACCACCCAGCTAAGCTGGACTTATCATGGTGATCACTTCATTAGGTACATAAATGTTGAACAACTATGGTATACCCCTGAAACTAATATAGAGGGTGCCAAAAAAATGTATATATATTTTAAGGAAAAATGTATTAAAATTGTAATATAATGAATGATGCTAGTGTTCATTTGATTAATGCCATCTTTTGAGCAAACATCATATGACACATTGCTTCTGAACTTCAATTCAACTTTGAAAAGTAATACATAGATAACATCTCTTAAAATGTGTAAATTTTTGGCACCCCACAGTAATATTGTATGTTAGCTATATTTTTAAATAAAACTCTTTAAAAAAAACACCAAAACACCCGGCTAAGCTGCTCCCACATTCCTGACCCTCAGAAATTGAGAAAATTAAGATTTGTTTTATGCTGCTAAGTCTGGGGGTAATTTTTAATATGGTAATAGATAACTAATACATCCAATTTATTTTTCTCTGGAGGTAGTTATGCTGCCCCGGTGTCTAGTTATTTTGATGCTGTGCTCATATTCCCAACATGAGCAGCCGTTATGGCTGGTAAAATGTATTGAGGGAAGGCTGAAGGCCACTTTACTGCTCAATCACCTGGACTTCAAGGGGTATGGAGATGTGTGGGGAGATGAACCAGAGGGTTGACAGGCCCAGGCACCACAAAAGCAGAGCTCTCACTCCCATCTGCTAGCACAGCACCTAACAATTCCTCTGGCAGGGGTCTCATCTTTAAACCCTCAGAGGAATCCACCTCCCTAGGTGTCACCACCAGCCCTGGTGTCTGGAGGGAGAGGTAGAGGAGTGACTGCCTCTGGGTACACGTTTCCTCCCCTCAGCAGGGTGCTTGGTGCCCTGACACTAGCCCCCAAGACACCTGTCCCAGTGGTTGGGATGATTTCTGCAGCGATGGGACAGACAAGGGTCTTCCCGGGGCAACATAGGGGAGAGGTAGGATCCAGAACTTAAATCGCTAAGCCAGGGGTCGGCAAACTTTTGAGACAGAAGAGCCAATCCCGTCCCTCAAAGTTTTGCGAGACCTACAAAACAAATGAAATCACCATTATGTGAATAATATCCTTTAACAATATTATAAATGAAACTATGATAGTTTTATTTTCATTTTCAATTTTACTTCAGAGCCACATGTACGTACCCAAAGAACTGCATGTGGCTTGCGAGTCGCAGTTTGCCGATCCCTGCTCTAACCTATCCTGTATTTGCTGCCTCCAGCCATCTTCCACTCAAAACACCGGCCAGTTAAATATTCCATTTCCCCATAGGTCTTCTTAGCTGTGCTACAGTTTCTGGGACTCATGTTCCCTCCCCTCTGTGGTTTCTCCAGGGTTCCTTTTAGGCAAGGGAATTGGTGGCTCGTGCTGTTTGCCATCTTGACAGGAACCAGAAGCTCCAGCCAAGTATCCTCGGGGACTAACAGAGGTTTCTGCCTTTCAGCGTATCTCAGCCTCCTATTCACAGGAAAGACTCCTCTGGCCCTCAGAGGCCCAAGCCACCATTCACAGAATTGGCTTGTCTGGCCCCTCAACTATATGAGCTCATTAATCATGGAATGTACCCAGAGGGTGTCAGTTGGTAACTGACAAAGTGGGTATATTTCAGGTCCTCAAAGGGCCATATACCCCCATATGTTGGATGGCCCTTGGTGTGGGCGATGTCTGAATCCCTTATGCGTAATTGTTAGACCCACAGTCTTGGGGTACCCCAGACACAGAGTGGTCTTGTTCTGCTCTTCCAGTGACTGAGTCTCCATCTGAGGAATGGTCAGCTTCCCCAATACTGGGGGATGATGGGAGCCTTTTAAGTGTTATATCCAGCTTTATATGGCATTGCCGGGGTAGACAGATGAGAAGATGGCTGCCCTGATGCCCTTCATGTCTATCAGCATTACCTCATGTAGCAACTTCTGGCCAGAACCTGGCATGGTGAGGCCACGACCTGTAGGACCCCAGTTACTTCACCCATTGTCTGCCACGTCCTTGTGGAGGACAGCACCTGGCCTGTGAGAGAATCCGCCTTCTGAGAACCTAAGTGGGAAAAGGGCTTTCTTTTGATCATTAACCTCCAAATAAGTAGGTGACTTCTTTGAGGGCCTGAGCTTTATCAGTGTTTGATTTGTTTGTTCACAGTAGTGGGATGGAGAAAGCAAATAAAAGGTGTCTATTGGTAAAATGGTTAAGACAGGTACCCATGAGCTAGAAACCCAGTTTACAGCTTAGAGCCCTAGGCATGGCAAGGCCACAGTCCCTCAACCTGGCCCCAAAGCAAGTGACAAGAATAGGAACTTCAGACACCTGCCCAGGACTGCCAGCATTAGTACAGAAGACTCACAGGGAAGGGTCTGGATCCCAGAACAGGTGACAGGTAGAAGGCTAGAGGTGGCTGGTTCAGTGTTTCCAAGTAGCCCATACTTCTCAATCGTTGTAATGAATCTTGCCCTTTCTGAGTCAGGAACTCTCTCTCATCCCTTAGTCAGGGGCCTGTCCTGAAAACACATTCACAGCCATAATCCAGACCCTCACAGGCAGACAGATGTACCACACAACAGCCTCAGGCCTTCCTCAAGCAATCCTTGACCTGGGCTCACCTTCTACAACCAATTCTCAGCATCCACTCTCCCACCACTGGGGAAGCAGGAGCCACCTTACACCAAGTGAAATAGTTCAGCTCCAGCAGGTAAAGAGCCCCTGGGGACTCCAACTACAACAAAAACTAGGAAAAGGGCAGAGAAATAAACAGATCACAGTGACCTTCATGTGTGCAAAGTACAGTTGTTAAAAACGAAGAAACAAAAACAGAAAAGAGGCCGTGGCCTCCATGAGACAGTGCCAAAGCAGAGCCCCACACTCTCAGACCTGCAGAGAGAGGGCCCAATGCTCTGACAGGGCTAGGGCTGGCAGGCAGGGAGGTGGGGTCTCAGGTGGAGGCCCTCATAGTGAAGACTGGTGATCTGGTGGGGCTGATGGGCTGGAGGGAGCCTGATTAAGATGGGGCTGTGGCCTCAGCCCCCTCTTCTGAATCCCACACCTCTGACTGCAGGTAATCAGCAAAGAGAGCCTTGGCCCGGCGTAGGACACGCCCCAGGTGGTGTTTTCGCACGAGGCGGTCAAAGTGCATGGCCAGCTCGTTGTAATCCAGCCCATTGCGCATGATGTGGTCACGGTGCTCCAGCAGGATGGCAAGGCAGAGGAAGAGCATGAATGGGTTTCCCCGGCCAAATTCCTGGGGTGGGGGCAGGCCCAATGGGTGTGGGGGTGGCAGGGACTTCCCAGGGTCTTTCCGGGAGCCCACTTCTGGCATCAAGGGGGATCCTGCAGCCACGTCACCAGCGGGAGAGGCCTCCTGGGAGGATGGTGGAGATGAGGAGGATGGGGAATCTGGGCGGGAAGATGAGGAGAGCAGTGGGTCTGAGGAGTTCAGCAAGGGCTCAGAGAGGGATTTGGAACTGATGAGGGCAGTTGGATGGTGCAGCTGGACCAGAGGGCCCCGCCTGGGGCCCGTGTTATCCCTGAGTTGCTGGAGTTCATCCAGACTGGCTTGTCTCAGGAGACGTCCCCCACCACCAGGCCTCTGGCTGGTCATAGCCAAGTGGGCAACAGCATCTTCAAAAGCACTGCTTCTCCCACCTGCAGGCCTCAACATGTGTCTCTGTCGCACGGGCCGCCCTCTGTGACCACCAAAGCCAGTGTCTGCCACTTGGTTGGGGGGTCCGACGAGCTCTACCTCATGTTCAGGAGGATCGGGGGGCAGTGAACTCCAGGTGACCTCAAGCATGCGGAGGGCATCGTCAAAGGCGAACTCACGCTTGAGCTCGAGCAGCAGCCAGCGGTAACAGAAGAAGAGGTCATCAGCACCAGCTTCTTGCAGATACTGGTAGAAGTCAGGGTCAGCATGTCGCAGCAGCAGCTTGAGGTGGGCGAATTTGGTGGCCATGGCACGGCCATCAGGATGGAAGTTCGCGGCCAGGCGCTTCATGATGCCACAAAAGCAGACGAAAGCATGGCCTTCGTGGTCCATGACGGCGAGGATGGGCGAGGCAAGGTCGCTCATGCCCTGGCAGTAGGACACCTGTGGGTGGGTAACGGCATAGGTGGTGAGCAGGTCGTGCAGTGCCCGCAGGTGTGGGCCATCCTCAGGCCCGGCATAGTAGGGATGGGCCCGGTCAGTACGTAGCACATCCTTGAGGACTGTGCTACGAATGAATTCCAAGTCTTCGGGACTCGCTCGCTGTGCCCACTCACTCTTGAGCTGCTCATATTCACGACTCTTGCGTTTCATGTAGTCCATTCGCTCACGTCCTGTCAGCCCATCTGGGTACACATTCAGCAGGTACCGCCACACCACCTGGCCAGGGTCAAAAGGGATGAGGCTGAGGTTCTACAGGTGAGCCACCTCACCCAAGGGTATATCCGTTACCACCCAACCACCTGCCTTGGGCCTCTGTCCTCCTTCTGAAAGTCTGCCTTCCCACCTTTGACTCCTAGTCCCTCGTGAAGGACAGCTCACTGCCCTGGAACATCTCCACGCCATCCCACAACAGTGTGGTCTGCTGCACAGGTCTCACAAGATATTCATGACTGCAGGGACAATGGAGCCAATGGATGGCTGAGGAGGCTCACCTTTCGCAGGGAGGGCTCAACACCACCATGATAGATTCGCAGGCGCAACTCCTCAGGGCGGGAGAGCTGGCCTTCATGGTTCAGATATGTGTGGAACTCAGCATCGCTCAGGGGTGGCTTGAAGGGCTTGACATCCTCCCCATATGACCAGCTCAGCACCTGCTGGACCTTAGACAAAGTGCGGCCCACCTGTGAAGGAAGGAAGGAAGGGAGAGGCCATGGGTAAGCTGGGTAGGCTAGGGGCAGGTGCCAATCAGCATGCTCAGAATTGGGGGAACCAGGTAGGCTATGCCTTACAACCATAGCTAGGCCCCAGGGTCCCTGAAACCACCTGAGAGAGGATGGATTGTGTGAAGGGCAGGGCAGCTGTTGTCAGCGATGACCGTTTCTCAGCCAGCAGCACGTCAGAGCCAATGACATCCTTGGGGCTGATTATGTCCCAGTCTTCCAGCAGCGGGCCTGGGCAAACAGAGTGAAGTGACATGAGCATGGGGATGAGAACCCCAGACCTCAGGGCCAGGTTCCTCTCCTATCAAAGCCAGGCCACCAAAGGGCAATGAGTGACTCCCACTCTCTCTTCTCATGTCATCTAAGTCATGCAAAAAACACAGCCATGAATAATTCTTTTCTATTAGAATAACTGTCTTTTTTTATCAGGTAACTATCTCACAAAATGGCTGGACTCTAATAGTAATATTTTAATGATATAAAGTAATATTTATTGAGCACTTACTATGTGCCAGGCACTGTGACAAGGGCAAAACTTTAAGAAAAATAATAACATGAGACAACATTTCCATAGTGCTAAGTGCCAGGAAGTGTTCTGAGCCCTTTGCAAATATTAGCTCATTTAATATTCATATCCATTCTATAAGTTAGGCACTATTATTATTGCCACTCTTTCTATGAGGAAACAGGCGCAGTAAGGATAAGACAGTTGCCCAAGGTCCAACAGCTAGTGAGTGAAAGAACCAAAATCTGAAGCCCAGGCCCAAAGCTGGAGAGCCTAAACTCATATTCACACTAGCTCTCCTCCCACAATCAGTATAGATTACCATGATCATTCTCATTTTACAGACGATGATGAAAAGATTGGAACAACTAGTAAGTGGCCAAGATTCTACAGTTAGGAAATGGTAGGCCTGGATCTGAACCTCTTTTGCCTCACTCAAGAGCCCAGAGAGGTTTTAGAAAAAGTATTTGTGGAATAGGTATGTCATGTATGTTAGACAGAGTAAACAATGCTGTGCTTGACTTTTTCCAGTTCTGGCTCTTGGATCATCAGCAGAAGTCTGTCCCTTCTCTCTCTTCTTTATAGCGCCGCACATCCTTTCTTCCTGCCTTAAACGTGATGTGGTGGCTGAAGCAGCAGTGGCCACCTGAAGGTAAGCTTGAGATTTAGAAGATGTCAGCCCTGGTGCCAAAGAGCTGCTAAGTTGACAACAGCAATGTCCAGTGGCTTTCAAATTCTATTATATTAAACAAATCAACTTCAAGTCGTTTAAGCCATTGTCACTTGCGGGCAAGTACTGTCCCTAAGCAGCATTTCCATGGAGTTCATTGTCCTTTTTCCCATGGAGCTGAGGGGGAAGCAAATCCTAGGCAGCATTTCGATATCACTGCCTTTCCTTGGATGTCTCACAGTGCACAGCAAACCTAAGGGGTCCAAAAGGGGAGCCTGAGAGCCACCGTAGACATGACCTCCTCATTTGCTCCTCATGTGAGTGAACAGGGTCTCTATCTGTTCAGTTGCTTAAGCCAGATGAGAGTGTCCTTGCTGCCTCCCACTCTCTCAACTCCCAGAGCCAAACTGTTGCTAAGCCCCATGGCTTCTGCGTGCAGAATATACTTCAATTCCACCTCTTCTCTCATCTCCACCTTGTCACCCTGTCTAAGCCACCACGTTTCTCACCTGAAGTTGCTCCTAACCAGTCCCTGCTTCCTCTTTGTCCCTCTCCACTCTCACCCAACAGCTGCCAGAGTGGTCTTTCTAAAACATTAATCAGAGTATTAAAACACTTAACAGGTAAAATGGAGCAGGTCACACTACTGAACAGGTAAAATGAAGAGGATCAAACTGATAGTCTAAAACAGGGGTCGGCAAACTTTTGAGATGGAGGAGCCACCAGGGGTCAGCAAACTGTGGCTCGCGAGCCACAAGCGGCTCTTCGGGTACATACATGTGGCTCTGAAGTAAAATTGAAAATGGAAATAAAACTATCATAGTTTCACTTATGATATTATTTTAAATTTTCCTTATTTGTAAAAATATATTTGTGGCTCTCAAATAATTTTTAAATTGTTGTGATGGACAGGATTGGCTCTTCCAGGGGTCAGCAAACTTTTGAGACGGAACATACCCAAAGAGCTGCATGTGGCTTGCGGGCCACAGTTTGCCGACCCCTGGTCTAAAAGACCAAAGAGAAGAATATCGCAGACCTAAAGCTTGATAATTTGAGTGAAAAAGTAGAGAGATTGGGAAGGCAAGTCCAGGAGACCTAATATGCAAATACTAGGAAATGCGGGGGGAGAAAGGGGATCAGGTGGAGACAGTATAATCACACAGGCATGAAGGAGAATGTCCCTGAGAAGAAATGGCTTACTAAGTCTTAGATAGGATTACTTAACAAACAGCACATATGACAAGCTTCCCCCTGCTCTATTTAGATTCTGGTGAAATACCCAAATTCCAAGAAGGAAGAAAAACTCTTGCCAGCTTCCAAAGACAAGGAAACAGGCTGCTTACAACAGAAAGAAGGTCAGAATGGTGATGGACTTCTGTTCCACAACTCTGGAAGCAAGAAGACAGTGGTTCGTGGCACCTATGGAGCATTGAGAAGAAAGACCTAAGATTCAAGGGCTTCACGCCCAGCCAAGACAGTACAGTGGCCAAAGAAAGGCATTTTTGGTTATTAGAATACATCTAACCCATGCACTTATTGGAGATGAACAAATACATTTTCTAAGCAAATGACTACTGAATGAAGGCGGGGATAGCAAAGGAAGGGTAAATGGTGACAGGCCACAGATTTCTAATATATACAGTTAAACATAAAATGACAAAGATACTGTGTCTGAGAGTTTGCAATCTTAAGGGTTACTCTAGGATTCCTGAAACATAGTAACCTACCATAAAGATGATACCCTGGAATTTAAAAAGAAACAAAAATTACTATCTCGGGAAAACCCAGAAGTTAAGAGTTAGGGATCAAAGGAAGAATAAGGAGTGTTCCAAAGCTTCCATTTCAAAGGCTGGGGAGGCTGGGAGAGGCTGGAGGGGAAAAATGGTCTAAAGATTTTGCTGTTAATTGTGTCAAAAAGCATAAATCCAGCAATGGGATTTTTATGAGGCATACCTAAAACTAGGTAACAAAGAAAGGATGAAAATTAAAGGAACCTAAAGGTATGCCTAGCAAACACAAACAGAAAGCAAGAGCAGCAATGTGAATGTCAGAAAAAGCACTGCTCAAGGCCAAAAACATTACAAGAATAAAGAGACATTCTATATTGATATTAAAAAGAATGAGCCCATCAATAAAACAGGCAAAGGATTTCTACAAGCACAAACTCATCTAGTGGCAAAACCTGATCTAAACAGACACGAGACTATATATAGACTTTATGTAACCCACTAAGTGTGAATATGCACACATTTCCCTGAAGAAACATCCATGTGTTCCATTATGGGGTGCTGCCCCAGGTCCTGCTTGCGATATTACATAATATATGCTACACGTACTACTTTTCCTCATCATAAAATTGATCAAACTTCCCAAACCCTAAATTAATATATAAATGCTGTGCAATGCTAATCAGAAATTTAATGTGGTTCTTCCTGGAACTGGAAAATTGTTGTGACATTCATATGAAAGAATTCCCATTTAAGAATAGTTAAGAAAAAAAGAGGCAAGAAAAAGAGATAGAGGGAAGATGGCAATGCTTCCCTTATTAAAATTCACCACAAAACCACTGTGGTAAAAATATGGTGTTAGTCTAGCAATAGACAAATAGAGCCAATTGATGGAATGCAATAGGAAGCCCAGAAATAAATCCAAGTACACCTGGGAACTCAGTATATGACAAAAGTGGCATTTCTAATCAGTGTAGAGAAGGTGGCTATTTAAAAAATGACGCTGATATAATTGACTATTTAACTGGAATTTTCAAAAAATGCTAGGTCTACTTATTACAATGTTGACAGAGTAGATATTTATATATAAAAATAAAATAATAAGCATATTAGAAGAAAATGTAGAATACTCGGATAAGCTTGTAAATGGGAAGATGTTCCAAAGTAAGAAGAGAAACTCAGAAATCATAAAGGAATAAATAGATATACATATAAGACTGCATACAAATTTTTATTTTTAATACGACAAAAAAGACACCACAAACAAAGCCATGAAACAAAAGGTAAGCACAGTATAGGGAATATAGTCAATGGAGTTGTAATAGCTATATACGATGTCAGAGGGGCAGTAGATTGGGGGAGAGGGGTTATCATTTTGTGAGGGGTGTAAATGCCTATTACATTGTTTTGCACACCTGAAACTAATAAAAAAAAAGTAAGCTGGGAAAAAATATTTGCAATACATCTGACAGAGAGTTCATATCACAAATGCACAAATTGGTCAAAGGTCTAGGCTTGGTAATCTGATCGTAGAGGTGACAAACTGACTTCTTCCCAGAAAGAGGGACTGGGTCATCCAAGTGGTCAAAACATGCCTGTTGGTTTCACAGTCATGAATGCAATCACAAGAATGCCATTAAAAATATTTATAATAAAAACCTATTTGAAGAAAAAAAATATTTATATTAACAGCTTTATCTATTGGGTACTTATTAAGTACAGTATGATCCATTTATGTTAAATACATACCATTTGTGTATATATACAAATATGAATATACTTATGTATCTCTATATGTGGGTAAATTTGTATTTGTGTGTGTGTGTGTGTGTGTGTGTGTGTGTGTGTGAATAAATAAAGGACCTGCAAGGTTACACACCAAAATGATCAAAGTGGTTCCTGCAGCATAAAAGGGTAGGAGATTGAGATTATACATAGTGGTTCTACGAGACTTCAGCATTATTTGAAATGCATGTATTTACTGGGTAATTAAAATTTTGTTTCTTTTAAAAATGCAACTCCAATCAAATTCCCCATCAGGATTTTAATGAAATGATAAGCTAATTCTATTAAATGAAAAGAAGAGTAAGTGAACAAGAATACTCAATAAAATATTTTTTTTCTTTTTAAAGATTTTTATTGGGGAATTGGGGGATGGGAACAGCGCTGGGGAATTGGGGGAAGGGGAACAGACAAGCTGCTGTCCTTTTGTTCTTCAGTCTAGTTGTGGAGGACGTTGCTTCACTGGCCCAAGTTGGCACCATCATTGCGCTATTCCCGGGCGAAGCAGATCAGTCGCCGGCTTCTGGACGGCCACTCACGCTGGCTGCTGGCCACACATGGTAGCCCACGGCAACCCACTGCCACAGGGGCTGCAGCCTACGCCATCACCGGCCACTCATGGCAGCCCAGCTCCAGGTCGAGCTGTTGTTCAGCATCTTAGCTGTAGAGGGCCCTCATATGTGAGATCTAAACTGGGGCCCTCTGGCGTCCCAAGCCAGCTCTGAACCAACGCGCCACTCGGCCGGCCCTCAACAAAATTTTTAAAAAGGAAAACATTAAAACGTATAAAGTTATGTGATTAAAACAACAAGGAACTGGCTAAGCATTTACCGGAGATCAATGTTAAACCCTTATAGATGCAGGAACTCAAAGACAACAGGAAGAAGAGAATGGACTCCTCAATAACTGGAAAGTTGATTCTCTTTAAAAAGATAAATGTTAAATACCTTTCTGCCAAACTGATGGGTGTCTGTCTCTCTGCTTTATTTGCATTCCTCTCAGTTCTTATGCAATTGGGCTTTTCTTCATGTGTTTATTAGCTGAGCAGTTTTTATTTCTTTACTGAAATAGTGCTACTGTGTCTATTTTACAGGTGAGGAAAGGGAGGCTTGGGGAATTAGTTAAGTGACTGGCCTAAGCACATAGGGCTACTCAGTGGCAGAGGTTCCTGTGTCTCTTGCTACCTGTCTTTTTCCATTTGTTTCTCTGCCCGTCTCTGTCACCATCTTTCTCTCTGACTCGTTTCTCTCTCTACCTCTTTCTCTTGTCTCTTTTTCTCAAGGCTACCTATCTTAACAAGCCCCAAATTCTGTAGAGTCAAATGCTTAAGAGCAAAGACTCTGGAATCAGTTCAGCCACCACCTGGGCTCAAATCCTGCTCCCCCACTTGTCTGTATGACATGGACAAGTTCTGTCCCCTCTCTGGACCTCAGTTTCCTCATCTATAACATGAGGATAACAATTGGCCCTACCCAGTAGGATTGTTTTGACAATCCTGTGAATAAATATTATGTGTGTAGAATGGCCCCAAGTGTTCAAAACATGTTAGCTACTCGTATATTATTACAATGTCAATAAAATGCCTCAGTCATCCCAAACGGGCACAGGAGTTCCTGAGGCTGGGAACCTTCCACTCCACTTTTTATTAAAAAAAAATTCAAATCTACAATAAAGTTAAAAAAATGAACACATTGAATACCCACACAGCTTTCATCTAGCTCCTGTAACTATTCACAATTTTGCCACATTTACTTTATTTTGTTCTCTCATATATATATATATATATATGTATATATATATATATATATGCTGATTTTCTGTCAATTATTTGTAGACATCAGGACCTCTTAATACTTAACTGTTTTTCCTGAGAAAAAGGACATTTTCCTTCAATAACCATGATACCATTGCCATATCCAGGAAATTTAACACTGATACAATATTATTATATAATGTATGGTCCATAGTCAAATTTTTGGGACCATGTCTTAATTTATCTGTGTGCTCCGAGGCACCAGCATAGGCAAGAATGGGGGTACAAATTAGAGAAGAGAGAAATTATTATAGCTGAGAGAGCAAGAGAACAAATGAACTAGTGAGCAAAAGTGCAAACAAATGAGTATGAGTGCACAAAGAGTGGATGAATAAATACAACTACTGGGCCGGCCGCGTGGCGTGTTGGTTAAGAGTTGGCTTGGGATGCCTGCTTTGAGCAGCAGAGCCCCAGTTTGGATCCCACAGAAGGGCCAGTAACGCTGCGCCCTCTACAGCTAAGATGGTGAACAACAGTTCGACCTGGAGCTGGGCGACCATGGGTTGCCAGTGACGGTGTAGGCTGCAGTGAAGCTGCAGTGGGCTGCCATAAGTTACCATGAGTGGCTGGCAGCCGGCATGAGCGGCTGGCAGCCAGCGTGAGCTGTCAAGGGCCGCCGTGAGTGGCCATCCAGTGGCCAGCAACCGATCTGCCTCACCCAGCAACAGAACAATGATAATACCAACATAGGCCAGTGAAGCGACGTCCTCCACAACTAGACTGAAGAACAAAAGGATAGCAACTTGTCTGTTCCCCTTCCCTGATTCCCCAATAAAATATTAAAATAAATAAATAAGTACAACTACCATTATTATAATCAGCAATGTTATATTTACATATTATTATAATTGAAACATACAATACTATGCTCTATTTTTATATTACATTTTATAATTATATACTACTAGATTATATACTATAATAGTATATATAATAATTATTGTTATTAGAATTAGTACTTTTTGAGCATTCACTGCAGCCATGTACTGTTCCAGGCATTTTACATGAATTTTCCTGTTTTATCCTCCCGATAGCCCTAAGACATAATTATCTCTACAGGTGAAGAACTGAGGTCCAGTGGGCAAGCCAGGACTTGGACCTAGGCTACCTAGCTCCCTAGCCCACTGTGAATAAGTATATTGCAAGGGGTGGAATCATCCAATGGGGACAGGGTATGTCCCAGAGCAGTGCTCCCCAAGGCACTGGGTACTCACTGTCCTCAGTGGGCCGGATATCTACACGCAGCTGCAGGTATGGTTTGGAGGCAGCAGCGAAGGCTGTGCTGAGGTCCCAGTCAGACAGGAGTGAGAGGTAAGTTTCCTGGCCCAGCCGATCCCGGCCCAGGTAGCTGATGCCAAAGTTCTTCTTCCTGGACAGAGAAGGTGCAGAAGCTCTCAGTGCCCCAATGCTCTGGACGCCTCAGGGACAGTTTCCAGAAGAAGCAGGGGAAGATAGACGGTGTTGACAAAAACTTCCTAATATGTGTTGGGGACTGTGCTAAGGATTGCAGGCAACCTGAGATCAGACCGTTCATCTCTACCTTGTTACACAAACATAGAAACAGATACACACCTGCTTGCATCTCGAGGGCACACTGGAAACTGGTAAAATGTTGGTCCCCTCTAGGGAGGGTAACAGGGTAGTTGAGGGATAGAAATGGAAAGAAAGCAGCCTTTTTACTGCATTAAAAAAAAGCAATCCAGGGACGGCCGGTTAGCTCAGTTGGTTAGAGTGCAGTGCTCATAACACCAAGGTTGCCGGTTCGATCCCCACACCCTCCACAACTAGATTGAAACAAGTTCTTGACTTGGAGCTGATGGGTCCCGGAAAAACACACTGTTCCCCAATTTAAAAAAAGCAATTTGTATGATTGTCACTTTTCACAACAAAAGGTGCTTATACAAAAAATGTCAAATAACAACTAAGAATTTATTCTTCAGATACACTTGTGCAACTATGCAAAGAAATATGTTGTGTGATGACTATTATCACCATGAAACACCCTAACTACCCATCACTTTGGTACTCTTTGAGTTTGTTAGTATGTGCATGTATTCCTCCAAAATAACCACCACAACAAAATAACCATCACACCTGACCCCAAGAGATATCACTTTTCATCTATCAGGTTGGCAAATTTTCCAATGTTTTCTAGTAACCAGTGTTTGTGAGGTTGTGAGGGGAAACAGGTATTTTATATGCTGCTGGTGAGATTGTAAATTGGTAAAACCTGTCTGGAGAGCATTTTGGAACCATCCATTGACATTTTAAAAAGCATGCACCCTTTAACCCAGTAATACCTGCTAAGAATCTATCCTATAGCTAGATTTCCCCCAAATATTCCAAGATATGCCTATGTGGCTGTTCTTGGTGGGATTATTTATAATAATAAAACAAGCAAATACCCTACCAAACACAAACAATGAAAAAGGCAAACAACCGCTGTTGAGGTGAGTGGATCACTGTTTGGTCGCCAGCATCCCATTACTCACCCGTTCAAATCAAACGCTCGGATGAGGATGTGCTGCAACACATCAAGGGAGGTGATCTGGGGGTCTACAGCGAAAGAGCGGAACTCAGGTGGCAAGAAGCTCTCACATTTCTGGGGAGAGAGGACATGGGGTAGGCCATCAGGGGCCAGCCACATCACCACGCTGAAGCAGAGTGAGCAGTAGGAGGCAAGGTCAGAGAAGTGGCAGGGGCCAGATCACGGCGGGTGTCCTGGACCATTGTGAAGACTTTGGTTTATGCTTTGAGTGAGTGGGGAGCACTAGGAGGGTTCTGAGTAGAGGAAGGATGTGGTCTGACTTATGACTTATAGGCTCCTTCTGGCTACTCTGCTTAGAACAGACTATGGTGGGGGTAAGGGAGAAAGCAGTGCTCTAGTGAGGAAGAGACTATGCAGTAGCCCAGACACCCAATCCTCCTTCTATTGTATATCCCCTCAATGATGGTGGCCAGGATCACCAAGTCCAGTCTGGCCTCTATTAATAATCCGTCCTCCATGCTACAACTAATCTAGCACACAGATCTACAACACTGTCCTGCTTAACTCACTTCAAAGGCAACCTCAGGGTCCCCAGCAGGTGAGCATATAGGACCCCGGACAGTCTCTCTTTCCAGTTAGCTTTTTTGAACTTTACCAAACTGCTGGAAGTTACTTTGAACACATCCTGGTTTCAGGCCTTTGCTTATGCTGATCCCCATCTGGAATGTCCTTCCCACTTTCTTCAACTCATAGCTCAGGCATCATCTCTTTTCTGAACTCCCAAACCTCTACCTTAGAGCATCCTCTAGTACACTGTAGTGATCCATTTACTTCTCTCCAGAATCTACCCTCTTATCACCCCCAGTGCCACCAACCTAGTCCGAGTCACCTTAACTGCTTCCTTGAACTAGTTCAACAGCTTTCTTACTCAGAGTACATACCTGAGGCCCTTCACAGTCTGCCCGACTCTCACTTCTCTGATTCATCTTCATCCACTCTTCCCCTCACTCTCTCAGCTCCAGAAATATGGAAACCTAAGTGCACGTGCCAAGCTCATTCCCCACCTCCCAGCATTTGGTCTTGCTGTTCCCTCTCCCTAGAACACTCTTCCCCCGTGACAGGCACATAGGTGACTCCTTTTAATTCGGGTCTCTGTTCCTTCAATACCTCTCTGGGGATTTCCCTGTACAACCTTAGCTAAAGTAACACCCTAGTTCAAAACTTTTTTGTTATTTCCTCATGACATTCACCAGTGCCCGAAGCATCTCATTTATTTAGCTGTTTGTCTCCCAGACAAGCAAGTCAGCTCATCCAGGGTGGGGACTTGCACAAAAGTGCACTCTCAACAATATGTTAACTGACTTCAGTGCCTCCTTTTCAGATAACAACAGCTTCCCTCATTCCTTAGGGCCCAGCTTCTCAACAATCAAGGCCCCTCCTCCAATCTTATAGCCCCTCCTCTCTGCCCACAATCTCCACCTATCCATTCCATAGGCCTCTACCCTTCTATTTTCATTCTTCACGCCCTTCTTCCCTGCCCCCGCATTCCCAGGTCCAGCCTCCCTCAGCCCCTGCCACCATCACTCAGCCTTCAAGCCTCGCCCCTGAGGTAACACCTCAAATCTCAGGTACCGCCCTCCATCCTAGGACAGCCACCGCCGTCTTCTCCCCTGGGAGCCCTGGGCGGGCTAAATGACAGCCGCCAACCTCACCTTGACTCGGACCCGTACCACCTCTCGCTCCTCCTCCTCAGCTGTCGCTGCCTGGACTTCCCCGCCAGGCGGGGGCGCTCCGGAGCCGGCCAAGTCTGAGGACCCAGAGGCTGTCGCCATCCCGCCGCCACCTGCCTCAAGGTGACAGGTGACACTTGCCCCCTACCCCTTATACGCACTCCAGAATGCAGACACTCGCAGCCCCACCTTGCGCCCAGACGCAGGCGCAGAGGGCGCCGCATGACCCTGATCTACCCCCCGCCCCTTCCACCTGGCAAACTGGAGTCGCCTTTGCGCATGCGCATAGAGTGCTGTCACTAGGAGCTCCGCCCCCAAAGCAGAGCATTTTTGCCTTACTTCAGCCAGTGCGCAGGCGCCTACTGAGGCCCCGCCTCCTCTCGTCCGCTGTTTGGTTGTTTGGGCAGTTTACTTCCGGATTCACCTAGTTAGTGTTCAAGTGATGACCTATTCCAGCGGGAGAGGTGGGCGGGGGAAAGGAAGCTGCTACACGGTGACATCAAGGCTCTACACCCCTCTCCAGGTCGCCTCGCGCCTTTGCTTACAGATTACGTCATCTATTTCAAATGCTTGTGGCCCTCTCCAGGTGAATCCGAAAAACGGAAAAATAATCCTTCCAGAATCTTTTTAAAAAGTTTACACGTGAAAATTCATGGGGCTCTACATTTTTGATTCTGCTAATGTGTTCACATGTTATACTTCAATAAATAATTTACCAAAAGCCATTTTTATGCTCTCTGGAGGTTTAAAGTTTGCCTTCGTTTTATTTAATCCTCACAACACGTTGAGGTCGATCCTGTTATTAAAGGGTGTGTGTCAACAAAATACGGGCTGAACGATTAAACATATCTGACTCCTTTGAGAAACTACATGTATGGCAAAAGGCATTCTCCTTACTTCATGGCATAACATCCACATTGTTTGGACAACATACAGACTGCCCTTCCAAATGTAATTTCTAACAAAGGAGTCCTGTAAGATTCCTGGACTTCAGCTATTGTTGCAGTGTTGTATAGATGCTACCATTAACATTAGCTTTTTAGAGAAGTCTGAAATTCTACTTTGGTATCTTTTAAAATATTTTGTTGTCTTGGCATTGATATTAAATTGACACCTGTTTTCTGGAAGGTATAAATAATGGGGACTTTTTTGGAAAGCCATAAGAGGGTTACTGGCATATTTCTCTTGTCCCATGTGCTGCAGACAAAAACACTTCTTATGGTACTACTGGATTTTTTTAAAAGAAATTTTATTGGGGAACGGTGTGCCCCTCGAGGACCCATCAGCTCCTAGTCAAGTAATTGTCTCAATCCAGTTGAGGAGGGCATTTTTTCAGGACCCATCAGCTCCAAGTCAAGTAGTTGTCTTCAGTCTAGTTGTGCAGGGTGCAGCTCCTTGGCCCATGTGGGAATCGAACTGGCAACCTTTGTGTTATGAGCCTGTGCCCTAACCACGCAAGCTAACCAGCTGCCCCTACTACTGGATTTTTTTTAAATTGGGGTATTGGGGGAAGGGGAACAGACAAGTTGCTGTCCTTTTGTTCTTCAGTCTAGTTGTGGAGGACGTTGCTTCACTGGCCCAAGTTGGCACCATCATTGCGCTCTTCCCGTGCGAGGCAGAACAGTCACCGGCTTCTGGACGGCCACTCACGCTGGCTGCTGGCCGCTCACGCTGGCTGCTGGCTACATAAGGTAGCCCATGGCAACCCACTGCCACAGGGGCTGCAGCCTATACCGTCGCCGGAGACTCACGGCAGCCCAGCTCCAGGTTGAGCTGTTGTTCAGCATCTTAGCTGTAGAGGGCCGTGTCACTGGCCCTCATATGTGGGATCCGAACCGGGGCTCTCTGGCGTCCCAAGCCAGTTCTTAACCATCGTGCCACTTGGCCGGCCCACTACTGGATTTTTTTATGGAAACAAGGAGTTTGAGAATCTTCTCATTAAAATTTTCAGTGTGGGATGAGGAAAACATTACCCTGAAGCTTGGGAGTTTATCCTGAGGGCACTGGAGTACAGGTTTTAGATGGGAGTATGATGTGGTCAGATGCCTGTCTTGGTTGTGGAGAGAGCCTTGGATGGAAAGATAATGGAAGCAAGGAGATCAAAAAGGTGGTCCTTACCATGGTCCTGGGGAGAACTTTTTCTTTCATTTGTTTATTTGTTCCTCCATTCAACGAATACAAATTGTATGCCAGGAAGTCTACATATATTAATTCATTTAATCTGATAAGAAACCCTATGAGGTAGGTACTATTATTACTAGCATTTTACAAATGGGAGCACTGAAGGTCAGGGAGAAACATGCTCAAGGTCAAAGGGATAGTAAGTGGTACAAAGAATAGACTGTGCAATGGACGGAAGATGGGGCTGTGCCTGGTGTGTTTGAGGAAGAGTGATGCCAGCAGCCTTAAATGATGATGAGGTAAGTGATGGACATGAGGTGAGGAAGTGACACAGCTTTGGCCTTAACAGTGGGGCATTTCTCAAAAGCTATACTGTAGGCTCAAGCACAACCAGGATTGGAACTGAAGTCCTGCTCTGCACAGGTCACCTGGAGCCAGTCTACAGGTACCTGCAGTTTTATTATTCGTTCTTTGTCATCTCAAAGTTCCTCACGTACCCATTTGTTTTGACTGAAGGTCTTGTCTGTACAATGAGGGGGTATCTGTGGGGTGAATGATGGGAATCTGTGGGGTGACAGGATGTGGGGTGAGGGAAGACCTGCAGGTTAATTGGAGATCTGTGGAGTGTAATAGGGATATGTGAGGTAAGTGATGAATTCTGCAAGGTGAGTTACAGGGAGTTTATAGGGTGAGTGATGGGGGATCTATAGGGTGTGATGAGAGGCCTATGGGGTAAATAATAGAGGGTCTGTGTGCTACATGATGGTGGGGGGGTCTACAGGATGAGTTATGGGGTTGTTTGGCACATGATGGGAGGTCTGATGGGGCAAGTGATAGAAGTGAGATAAGTGGTGGGTGGACTATGGAGTAAATGAAAAGCTATTTGTAGGGAGAGTGATAGGTGTCTTAAGGGTTAATGATGGGGTATATGGGGTGAGTGATGAGGTCTGTAGGGGTGAGTTTTGTGGAGTCTCGGTGAGTGATGGGAATCTTTAGGGTAGTGATGGGTGAGTCTGTGGGGTCAGTGATGGCGGTCTTTGGAGTAATTGGGTGTCTGTGAGGTACCTGATTAGGAGACAAGAGGCTGAGTAAATTGAAGAACTTGAAGATTTAGAAAATTCTCATCCTATCCATATTGCAAAAAACGAGAAAGTACTTTCTAGAGAGAACACCAAGTGTGTGTGTGGAAGATCACTCCTTAAAAGAGATTATGGGTGTGATTCATGGGTCTAATCAGCCATCACTGGAATCTGTGGGGTTTAGTGATGGGGGTTTGTGAGGTCATAGATTGAAGGTCTATGTGATGAGGATGGGGGCCTGTGGCTGAGAGAATGGTGGTCTGTGGAATGAGTGAGTGATGGAGGGGTCTGTGAAGTCAGTTATGGGGCATCTCTGGGGTTAGTAATTAAAGATCTCTGTGTTAGGGTCAAGACCTTTTATTTCCCGATTTTAAAAACTGCCACCCCCATGGACCTCCAAGGTTCTCTTGAACCTTTGTTCCAACAGCTCCTTTCTTCCCCATTTCTAGCCCTTTTGGTGCCCACCCATCAGCCTGAGTTTGAAATATCTATTCACTTTGTCTCTCCAACCTGTGGGAGCAAAGATTGGACTCTTCTAGTAGCTGGAGTTTGTCATCAGCCAGTGTTCAAGCCCAGTCCATCACTCATTAGCTCTGCTTGCTCTTGGCTTTTGTAGCTTTGGTGTCCAGCAGGGTTTGAGCACGGGTGAGCTGCTTCACAGAATCGAGCACGAGGATTCCGGGCAGCACCAACCAAAGGGCGTTCATGAAAACAAAGTAAAACCAGAAGTAGAGTGGGTGGCCCAGCTCCCCATGCTGGAATCCATCTCGGTACTCTATCAGGAAGTAGAGCACATCGCCGTAGATCTGACCTGTGGGAGGCAGAATGGGAAGGGGGAAATCCTGTGAGGAGAAGGTGCAATTCCAAGGCACTCTCCAAGTCATCATTCAAGGTCTCAGTGCTCAGGATTCCCAAATTCAGAAAGCTAAGAATTCTGAAATCATACAGCTGAAAATATGAGAAATCAGAACAGTGAGAATTCCAGAAATCAGAAGCTGAGAATTTTGGAACCCAGAAGAGTCCATATCTCCAGAATTTAAGGAATCTCAAATCCTTTAATTTAAGATAGCTGAGGGGCCAGCTGAGTGGCACGATGGTTAAGAACTGGCTAGGGACGCCAGAGGGCCCTGGTTCGGATCCCACATATGAGGGCCAGTGACACTGCCCTCTACGGCTAACATGCTGAACAACAGCTCGACCTGGAGATGGGCTGCCCTGCCCTGAGTCACCGGCGACAGCGCTGGCTGCAGCCCCTGTGGAAGTGGGTTGCCATGGGCTACCGTATGTAGCCAGCAGCCAGCGTGAGCGGCCAGCAGCCACAGTGAGCGGCCATCCAGAAGCCGGCGACTGATCTGCCTCACCCGGGAAGAGCGCAATGATGGTGCCAACTTGGGCCAGTGAAGCAATGTCCTCCACAACTAGACTGAAGAACAAAAGGACAGCAACTTGTCTGTTCCCCTCCCCACAATTCCCCAATAAAAATCTTTAAAAAAAAAGATAGCTGAGGATTCCAGGACTAAAAAGAATTTGCATTTCTAATAGAACTAAAGCAAGCTAACAATGTAAGAACACAAAAGGACTGAATCTCAGATGAAGGCGGCTCCAAATCCTGAGCATGGAGAACCCAGGGGCTTCCCAACATCATGGGCCACCTCATGCAACCTTCACAAGAGACTTTGTGGGGCCGGCCGAGTGGCTCAGTTGGTTAAGAGCTTGCTCAAGAGTGCAAGCTCTGAGCAACAGGGTCACTGGTTCGATTCCCACATGGGCCAGTGAGCTGCGCCCGAGCTGAGCTGCCAACCGGTGGCAGGATGGCTCAGCTGGTGAGAGTACGTGCTACTAACAATAAGGTTGCCTATTTGAGATGGTGGGCTACGCCTGCCTGCAACTAAAGACTGAACTCAGCACCTTGAGCTGAGCTGCTGCCCGGGTGGCTCAGGGGATAGAACGCGTGCTCTTAACAACAAGGCTGCTGGTTCGACTCCTGCATGGGATGGTGGCTACCCCACCAGCAACTAAGACTGAACTTGGCACCTTTAGCTGAGCTGCCGCCTGGATGGCTCAGTGGATAGAGCGTGCGCTCTTAACAACGAGGCTGCTGGTTTGACTCCCACATGGGATGGCGACTATGCCCACCTGCAACTAATTGAACAAAGCACCTTGAGCTGAGCTTGCAACTGGACTTGGAGCTGAGCTTGCTGCACCCTCCAAAACTAAGACTGAAGAACAACTTGGCTGTTCCCCTCCCCCAATTCTCCAATAAAATCTTTTAAAAAAAGGAGACTTTGTGATGGAGGAGAAGGAGAAATGAACACTCCCCGTTTGAGAACAAAGGCCGAGAGGGGCATGGCTGTTTCAAAACCTCAGGGAGTTTGTCATTTGGTCTGACTCAGCCCTGGATGGGCACAATTGAGAGATCCCACCCACACAGATGCCCCTGTGTCTGTGGATCCCCCATCAATCCCTCCAGCACCCAGTGTGGGCCCTCTCCTCACCCACAGAGACCACGAGCTGTAGGACAAAGCGGAGGGGCTGCTGGCGGAGAAAGGCGACTACCACCCAAATGCTGAACGGTCCCCACAGGCAAGAAGTGATGGTCTCCATGCATATCATGAAGTTGTCATTCCTGTGGGAGAAAGGATGGGGGACACTGGCATCATTGTGCTCTACCCACAGGCACCCCATTAGCGCTCCCTGACTCACCACCACCCCAAACCAATGCAGGTCTCCCTTGACCGTGGCAAACACTTACAGGAGGTATCGGCTGTCTCCCTTGGCATACTCTTTCCCTGAAGAAGACAAGAGACACACATGAAGAGTAAAGGCAGGGAAAGAACTCAAACTTGTGAAAACTAAGGCCCATGTAATAAGGCAGGCTTTATAACCTCTCCATGCCTCAGTTTCCATATCTGAAATGTGGTAGCTGTTTGGATTCTAGAGTTAATATATGTACACAAGCTAAACCTGTGCAAACCTGACATAGAACACTAAGTGTTGCTGTGGTTCTCTGGTATTCGAGAAATATTTGTAGAATAAAAGGAGACAGGTGTAGATGATGGAGTGAGTGAAGTTGCCAAGAAAAGAGAAAGAGAAAGAGAGAGAGAGAGAGAGAGAGAGAGAGAGAGAGAGAGAGAGAATATGAAGGTGAACAGAGGAGTGAATGAAAGAGCGAGCAGAGAGTCAGTAAGAAAAAGGTAGATCACACAATGTAAAAATAGGCAGGAGACTGGAATAAGTTCTTCACTAAAGAAGACTTCCAAATGGTCAACATACACATGAAAGGTGCTCAAACTGACACTAATCATTAAGGGAAAGCAAATTAAAACCCCATAATGAGATATCACTCACATGCACTAGAAGGACTAAAATTTAAGAAACACCTGACCATATCAAGTGTCAGTGAGGATGTGGATAAACTAGGACTCTCATATACTGATGGTGGGACTATGAAATGGTGCAGCCATTTTTGAAAATAATTTGGCAGTTTTTCATAAAGTTAAACACACACCTATCATATGACCCATTCACTCCTTCCTCCATATTTACCTGAGAAATGAAAGCAGATCTCCACACAAAGACTTATGTAACAATGTTCATAGTAGCTTTATTCATGAGGCCAAAAAGGAGTATTGCTTATAACAGCAAAAGACTGGAGGAAATGCCCATCAATACTGGACAAGTCAAATAATTCTGTAACATCTATGCTTTGAAAGCTCTTTATGAACTGATGAGGAGTGACCTTGTTAACAAAAGCAAAGTTAAGGAGTGTTTATAACATGTTACCATTTGTTTACACAAAAGGGAAAAATTAAAACAATGATGATGATAAATAGTTATATGGCATCTACTGTCTGCCAAACACTGTTCTAAGCGCCTTATATATGTATTTGGGTATTACTATTATCCTTCTTTTACAATTGGGCAAACTGAGGTTTATGTGTGTAATTTAAGTGTAAATAAACCCTGGAAGGAAATGAGCAATTATTAACAGTGGTTAATAACTGGGGACACTTGGTGGACAGAAGGAACATTTTCACTGCATACCTCTTTAAATAGTTTGTTTTTTGACCCAGGTGAATATATATGCAACAAAAAAGTTAAATACAATATTAAAATAAATTAATAGAAGAAGAGTTGGTGGGTGGGTAAACATCTAAGCCAATCCCTGCCTGGAAAATTCCCTCCCACAGCACATGCAAGAACTCAGGACTCACAGAGTTGGGATAAGAAAGCTTGGTCTCCAAGAAGGTCCTCGTGGTAAAGGCTGAACCAGCCCTCAATCACCATGTGAATGAATCCACATACTGCAAACCAGCACAGGGACAGTCGCCGCCAGGTCCCCAGTGGGATGACCGCAGCACGTCCTGACAACAGCCATGTGGTCACAACTAAGACCCCAGAGGCTGAGAAGAGGCCAGCCAGGAGATGCCAGGTAGGGCGGTCATTAGGCACAAAGTTGTCCAGTCTCAGGTGCCGAGGCCAGTATGGGTGCAAGGGGTTGGCGTTGGTGGCCATGTCTTTGTAGGCAGATGGCTGTGTGTGGATAAGTAGAAAGGAGAAAAAGGAAGAGAAAAACCTGAATAGAAAGCACCGAATGAAATCATAAAATCAAATCCAAATGGTTTATCACAAGAAATGCAAAACGACTAAATGTATCAGTAAATGAACTTGTAAAACTGGATTAAAAACAATCTAATTACATACTGTTTTAAAAGCATGACTATAAGGCCATAGAAAAACTGAAAGCTTGCTTGTTCCAGCTCTCTAGGAGCCATATAATGTGGTAGACACAGGAACCAGAGCAGGTCCTTGCCCTCAGGGGTCAGGGTCAGCTAAGGAAGACACAGGAACCATGCCTGGTCCCTGCCCTCATTGGTAAGTCTGGTGGACAGACATAAGAACCAGATTAGGCCCCAGCCCTCACTGGTTACCCTCTGTGAGGGAGACAAGGGAACCAGGCCTCGTCCTTGCCTTCAGGACTCAGTCGGCTGGGGGAGACACAACGACTAGGTTGAGTTCCATTGCAGGGGTCAGTGTCTCGCATCATTCAACGGAGAGCTATTCCCTCCCTGTAGTCCTGGAAACTTCAGGACAGAAGAGAGAAGACTAATGAAAACTACGACCCTCAGGTTCAGTGTGTGGAAAGCCAAACGCAATAGCGCAAACCACCTCCAAACTGAAAAGGGAAAAGAAAGTGGAAGGCAAGATCTAGCGCGCGCGGCGCTTAAAGGGGAAAAGGAGGGTCAAATACAGAGACCACCAATCAGAACTAAAACCCTCTAGTCCAGCTGCCCAATGGGGAGGAGGATCTTTTGTCGTCCGCACGACAACGCGGTAGCCGGGGG